GCTGGTGGTTTTGGTGGTCTCCGTGTCAACAGTCGTCTCCTTATTCCTGTTCCTTACGCTGACCCTGAGGATGATTACACTGTTCTTATCGGTGACTGGTACACAAGTGGCCACACCGCTCTCAAGAACTTCCTTGACAGTGGACGCACCCTTGGATTGCCTAATGGTGTTTTGATCAATGGAAAGTCCGGAATAGTTGATGGTAAGAACTTGCCTTTGTTCACGATGAAGGCAGGAAAGACATACAAGTACAGGCTATGCAATGTTGGATTCAAGTCTACTATTAACTTCAGGATCCAGAACCACAAGATGAAGCTTGTGGAGATGGAAGGCTCTCATGTTCTTCAGAACGATTATGACTCACTTGATGTCCACGTTGGCCAGTGCTTTTCAGTTCTTGTGACTGCTAACCAGGAAGCTAAAGACTACTACATGGTTGCATCGACTAGGTTCCTTAAGAAGGAACTGAGCACCGTTGGGGTGATCCGGTACGCAGGAAGTAACGTCCAGGCCTCAGCTGAGCTTCCCAAGGCTCCTGTTGGTTGGGCTTGGTCTTTGAACCAGTTCAGATCTTTCAGGTGGAACCTCACCGCTAGTGCTGCAAGGCCTAACCCACAGGGATCGTACCATTATGGAAAGATTAACATCACCCGTAGCATCAAGCTTGTCACCTCTAAGAGCATGGTTAACGGTAAAGTCCGGTTTGGCTTCAACGGTGTATCACACGTTGACACCGAGACACCTTTAAAGTTAGCTGAGTATTTCCAGATGTCAGAGAAGGTGTTCAAGTACAACGTCATCAAGGACGAGCCAGCAGCCAAAATCACTGCATTGACCGTGGAGCCTAATGTTCTAAACATCACTTTCCGTACCTTTGTAGAGATCATTTTCGAGAACCATGAGAAGAGCATGCAATCATTCCATTTGGATGGTTACTCCTTCTTCGCAGTCGCGTAAGAGCCTTGTGACCCCTTTTCTTTATCTGTATGTGTTTCTCTTGTAAATAACTTTGTGACTTTCTTTCAGTTCTGAGCCAGGGAGGTGGACACCTGAAAAGAGAAACAACTACAACTTGCTGGACGCAGTTAGCAGACACACGGTGCAAGTTTACCCCAAGTCCTGGTCAGCTATCCTATTGACATTCGACAATGCGGGTATGTGGAACATCAGGTCTGAGAACTGGGAGAGGAGATACCTTGGGGAGCAGTTGTATGTTAGCGTTCTATCACCAGAGAAATCACTAAGGGACGAGTACAACATCCCCCTCAACACTAACCTCTGTGGCATCGTCAAGGGCTTGCCGTTGCCTGCAAGCTACACCTAAGTTCATTAACTACTCCACAAGTGGGGTGTGTGTATTATAAATTTTCTAATTAACCCTTTTCCTAATCTTATGAGTGTACTTTGTAACTACCCGCTCTACTTGTTTTTATATACTGTCCTTAACCACAATCAACACACCAAGTTTTTTTCCTGGTTCACAGAGTTGTTCCATTAGCACAAACAAACATTTGTACGACTAAAATGCATAGAATCCCAAGCAGCATCTTATCAAAGATGTGGAGTTAAGAAAGACCTCACAAAAACTGAGGCTTTGGACTGAAACAAAACAGAAGAATAACAAATGAGTAGTAACCCGACAGTGAGAGGATACGGAGCATCTTCCAGCGGCCACCAAGCTTATAGCTATATTTGATGGATACAAAAAGTTATAAACGAAGAAGGAAGGCATAAAATATGCGACGACATGCAAACAAAATTAATATTCAAGAGTTTAAACAGAAAAATAAAGTAATCTATACTATATAAAAGTTGATGCTATAAGCCATTGAGGACGTCCACGTAGGATTTAAGTCCTCCAATCGTATAATGACACATCATTATATTAGTTTATTATTTTTATAAAATGTCATTGTTTCCAAATTATATTAAAAACGAAATTAATATTCCATATATAACTTAGATAACAAAATAAATACTAACATTTTAAAAATTACTTAAAAATGT